GAATATCGTACATAATAATTTTGAAAATCTAACAGAATTATTTTCATATCTGGTCAAAAATCTTTTTTTAGTTCTTTCGCCAGCAAAACTGTTCTCCGTGCAAGTTAAGAGCTAGCTTATCTTTTATGAATAATATCTGAAAAATATATAACTCGTTTAATTAATCACGATCTCTTAAAAGTGCTTTTGGTCAAAGTGTGATCAGGTATGCCTGACCCTCGTAAAAGGTCGCGAGCTGTAGATGCAACCAAATAAATATCTCATAGAATCTATAAAGGGATGCAGGAGGAATTGCTCTCATCGGGAAACTGCAATATCGTTTCGATACAAAGTTCTCTAGTTAGATTCACGAGTCAATATTGTTTCCATTTCGTTAAGCTTTGAGACGTCGGATAAAGCGAATGAAGGGAGAGCGAAAGAAAGAGGGAGAAAGAGGAAGAGAGAGGGTGAGCGCTTCAGAATTTACAGGGAGAAGTCGGCCGCGCGGTATGCGTTTGGAATCTACAAGACTGCACCCTCGGGGGTGTACCCTCGAGCTTTCGAAGAAGTTATCGAACGCTTCGAGAGATCGACGAAAGAAATCAACGAGGACGGCCTTTGGGTCTGTCAACAGTAACTTCGTATCCTAGTAAAAGGAATCGACTGGAACTCTGCGGTTTTCCGTCGAGTGTCCGATCTGTCTGCTCTTTCGAGTCCAGAAATTGCTGAGTAAAACATTCTTGTAGCTCTTAACCGAATAAACTAACTTTTTTAAACTCTGAAGAATTTTTTCGAGTTATATTTGGACGTTTTGTGCACATATCACGCAGAATTCTGAATATTTTATAAATGACAAGTCACGTTATGTTTAATCAATAATTATTAATTTATATAATTTAATATGTATGTTTAAAAGAATTATATTAAATATACAGAATTATATTAAAGAATTATATTAAAGATACAATTAAAATAACTAAATGCAAATTAAAATTCTTTTTCAATCAAATCAAATTTCACCATATATTTTCTATTATCATACATTTTATTATAAATTATATTTTATAAAAGTTAATAAAAGAACAGTTGACAGAAATACATGTTACTATTTCATAATAATCCAATTTCAATAAGAGAGCTCGCTGTCTAAATATAATTCAAAGAAAAATATAGTCTCTCCCGGACAAGACGGATTAAACTCAGTAACAACATTTATCGCGCAGGATTTCGCGCAGGACAGAGCGCCTATTTATTGCTATTTACTTACCCGGCGAATATTATTTACAAGCCGCGAGTTTCCGACGAGCTTCTGGCCGCAATTAAAGACTTTCATGCTAACGAGCACGGTCGCTTTCGTCCTTCGTGCGGTGCAACAACCTCGTTGCATTTAATCGCTTGACGTTTAATCACATTCATAACAGCGAAATTCTGCACTCCGGTATCGGCCTTATAGAGCGACTGAGGATGTTGAAAATCGGGAGAGCCCGTTTTCAATTTTTAACTTGGTGTATTTCGCTGCACTAAACACGCGATTTATGAGACATTATTAGGTGTAAGTGTTCGTTACAATGCTCTTTATTGCGACATTAGATAGATCGGATATTAAACATTTTTTATCGAAATAAAAATTGCTTAAGAATACCATATTTTATTTATATTATAACATTGATTTTTTTTTCTAGATTTCAGTACAATAATTTCTGTCAGAAAGAAGAAATCGATTTTTATTAGGGAGATTATTGTCACGGTTATTCTTTCTTATTTCGCTTTATAGCGACGATATCATGGATAAAATTTGAGCACGAACCATTTTGCATCCCATATTACGGCAGCCTTTTTCGTTATTGCTATTCGTTCTTATCCACCACGTCTTCTCCGCCGTGTTTCCTCCGAAATTGCCGGCGACGGGCCATTATCTCGTCAAGATAGGAATAGCATGCGACGAAGACGGTCTTGCTTGTAAACGGTTTGAAATTAGAATCGAAGAAACAGAGGAACGAAGAAGGATGAAAGAAGAAAGACACAGCTCCGAATAATCTCAACAGTCGCACACCCCGCGAGTGGATAATTAATTATCGGCGATTCCGGTTCGCGCTAAGAGAAGCGTGGAATAAGGGTGGCAGCGATGCGCGCGCGAGGGGTGGCCTCTGGGATGGCTCGAGTATTGTTTAGACGCTCACTAATTACGAAACAGTCAGCCCGGGAACCCGACGCGCCGAGCGGAAACGAGGCGGCACTGGAGATACCTTCAATTTATTTTGCTCTTACGCGGCCCGGACCCCATTGTCTTAGCTCGTTTATTAACGGCGACGCCACTCGGTGGTCTGTTCGCGAGGGTGGATCTTTAAGAGCGTGTTTTTAACAACGGGACACGAGGCTTGGAAACTCGTGCACCATTTTTGCAACGTGGCACCACACGTTGGCTTTCAAATAAACGTATAATTCAGTTTATAATCCTCTAACTTCTTTTCGTGAATTTTTATTTGAATTTCGATGTGACACATTCTTTTTACTTTATTATTTATCAGAGTTATTAGCGGTCGGGGAAAATTAAGAAAACCAGGAGAAGTCAGGAAATTAAAAAATGATATAGAAAAAGTGAGGAAAAATCAGAGAATCAAGAAACTTATTAGTTTAAAATAAAATTAGATTACTGTAATATTAATTCTAAATTTAAACTTTACATTTTTTTAAAATTATTAAATAGAATTTTTTAAGTTATTTAAAGTAGCGTTGTAAATATTTTTTTCAATTTTGCAGTGAGCGATTTGCAGAAAGTCATTAACAGACATTAAATTAAAAGTTATGTTCTATTTTTATCATTTTCCATTTATTTCTTATTATATACTTGTTTATGATTAATAAAATTTTTAATATATTTTTTTTCGATTTTATTAAATGCTCTTTTCAGGCTTCAGTCAGGGAATTCTTTTAAAACGTGGAAAATCAGGAAAAGCCAGAAAATATTTTTTTCTGTTTCCCTAATAACCCTATTTACGAAATTTATATCTAACATAAATTTGATTTACTGATCTGCTATTTTAATTTAATATAACATTCAGAACAGCTGGGTTCAGCAATTCTTCATGAAAAGAATAGTTTTAGTGAAGTATTCAAAAACTGGGCCAGATACAAATCTAAAAATAATTTTGTGGACAATCAAAATTATTACAG